ACCTCTACTGGGTGCAATGGGTTCGATCAGATCCAAACTAGAGAATGCAGAATCTACAGAAGAGAACAGAGATGCCTCCCCCCACCCCCTGCCTGTGTGACCTGCCAATACAGTGCTTTGCTAAGCCTCCACCAGGCCTGGCACACAGTGGGAGATCGATCAGTATCTGAATGGATGTGAAAAAACATTCCAGCACCTGTGCTAAACCCAAATCTACCATGCTGCCTTTACTCAGAAGCAGCAGCTTTAGATTAGGAAGGTCCTCAGAAGCCAACTTATTTGGCCCTAATACCATGTACAGTGAGGACCCAGGCCAAAGGTCAAAAGACTTCCTCAAGGTCACATCCTAACAATTTTTATCTTTAGCCCAGATTTCTCCCCACTACATCTCTCATTCATATCTACCTGACCTGAATTCAAACATCACATACGCCCGTTCCAAAACCAAGTCTCTATTGAAATTGGGTAACGTGCCCCCTAAGTAAGGACAGTCCCCACCTGGGGAGGGCAGACCAGAGAGGAGGGAGCAGCCAGCCCCATGTGACTTGACGGGCAGCCTGCCGGCCCAGAGCAGACTGAGCTCATTTCCAATTGAGTCATAAAGGGGAAGCTCTGGTGGGAGGAGGGCGGCAGGAATCTTTATGTGCTTCTGTCATTGTCTATTGGGGACCTTATATTCTTTTTCTACCCTATCAATGATATGGAATTGCTTTTTTGTTTTTTGTTTTTTAACGTTCTTTTAAAGTTTCTTTTCTGGCAACTCAGTGTCCTTGACCTCAACAAATGAACTGAGAACCCTCAACCAGGGGAAATAAACTAAACAAACCTCTCAGGAATATAAATGCTGCCGGGGCAATGACCCTTACTGGCAGACCCCACACCACGGGCAGGAAAGGCAGGGTAAAGGAAATCTATAGATAAACAAGAAAAACAAGTTAGATCGGGCAGACTCACGGCAGCTCCACCAGCCCTCTCCTCTGCAGACCAGCGCAGCCAATGACTCCTCCGCGAGCGGTGGGAAGAGTGGGTGCATGCACAGCAGCTGGGCATATGGACCCCCTGCACTTAAGAAGAATTAGTTAATGAACTTACCAAATTACTGCCAATTACCTCTGAAGTGTTGTGAAGACAGAGAAAGTAAAAAAAGATGGAAAGAAAATAAGGTAGCTAACACTGAAAAAAAGAATGACTAAGACAAGCTTAATTTATTCAGCACGGTTGTTCCCAATACACAGACACATACATACATACATTTAAAAAGTAAAAACAGACTCAAGTGCAGAGAATAGGAGTCATTCGCTTTAGACGAGGCTCGCTGCTTGTACCTGTCTGTTCAATGCAAGTGTATAGGATGACCATCAGGGTGTCAGCAGCAGGGCAGCCGCCTGGCAGGGAGCCCCTGCACCTCTGCACCCACAGCCTCGGGCTCCTCCAGGACAACCTTCACTCCATGGTCTGTAGTTTTGCTGAGGCGTGTGGCTGCCTTGTTTGTGAATCTAGCCCAGGCAGACAAGGACACTCCACACAGGGAGGGACTGCTATGTCCTGGGAAATAGTCCCACGTTTATGACGAATGTCACCTGTGGATTCATCCCGAGCCCTCGGACTCGGCTCCTTTGGGATGAAGCGGTGAAGAGGCAGTCAGCTCAGAGAGGTCTCAGCAATGCACGTGGAGACCAGGAAACTCAAAAGTCCACGAAGAACCTACTTTTCTCAACTGGAGACGGATGCAGAGTCTGTTGCTGGACGGGCTGGGGGTGGCCTGCCCTGGTGCCCTGCTGGCTTCCAGGGTCTCCCTACAATGCTCAATAAGCGGTTTTGGATGTGACTCTGGAGAGAATGGCTACACATCCCAAACAGCACAGAGCAGCTGCAGAAAGGCACGCCCACACGAGGCAAGGACGCTCACCTGAAAGATCGCCAGGAGCATGAGAGCCAGAGGAGAGAGTGGATCTAGCAGCGAGAAAAAAAGATTTGGGGGAAGGAGGGGTGGGGAGATGGTGTGGCTTTTTATTTATCCACCATCTTTCATGGGAGCATCCATAGCACATTACAGGCAGGAGCTCTTTAATCCTCCCAGAGGATGCTGCTGATTTGAAGGGCTCCCTGGGGAGTAAGAAATAAACCCCAGGATCAGACTCCAGGGCCAATCTCCACTCTGCCTCTCAGCCCCACCTAAAGCAAGTGAGATGTGAACAAGCCCCCGTGATGTGTTCCAAGAGCCTTCAAAATACTCAGATTCTTTCACTTGGTTCCCTGTACTCCTAAAAACATATGCCAAGTAAAACAATTTTAAAAGACAATAAACAAGATTTTTGCTCAAATGTTTTTGCTCAAAAAAATTTTTGCTCCAATATCAAATTTGCTCCCTGTAACATTATTCATAATAGCAAATAATTTACATGCTCAACAACAGGGGATTTGGTTAAGCACTGATGATACATACCCCAAATGGAATTACTAGTTAGCAATGAAAATACTTGTGCTATCTGCAAAAATGTGAAAGTAATCTTTTACTCTTAGTATTAAAATGCAGAATATACTGTGTTCCACTGGATCTCAATTGATGGTGTGTGTGTTAGGTGGAGACAGTGCATGGCTGCGTGGTTGTTTTGTCTTTATTGTTTTTAAATGGTAAGTACATTTTGGACTGTCCCAAAGTAAAAACCAAGTCTCCCACCCCCACTGCTCCGGGGAGACGGGGTCCCAGGGAAGAGGCTGTGAGGCACTAAGTGTCGGTAACGAGAAGTGGATGTGTCTGGGTAGTGGATTACAGCCCAGTCTTATTTTTATTCTTTCTACTTCTATATAATTATTTTTAAATATATTTTTATTGATTTCAGAGATGAAGGGAGAGGGAGAGAAACATCAACGATGAGAGAGAATCACTGATCAGCTGCCAACTGCACGGCTCACACTGGGGATTGAGCCCACAACCCAGATATGTGCCCTGACTGGGTGGGAATAGAACCAGAACCTCCTGGTTCATCGGTCCACAGTCAATCACCAAGCCACAATGGCCAGGCTTCTGTAATTAGTTTTTAACATAAAATCAATGAGGACAAGCAACCAGCCTTCTCTTCTCTATCTTGAAGGGAGAAACCCAGTCTCAAGTATGAGCCTGGGTACTGCCTATGTCCGCTGTGACCAGCTTGCCACCTCCCTGTACTGGGAGGACTTCAGGGTCTGTGGTTTCTGAGTGTCGTGCGTGAAGTAGTCAGCTGGGCAAAAAGAAAATAAGCAAACTCCACACAAAAGGGAGGAATGCTTCAGTCAACACTGAGAAAGGGCTCTGGATTGAAACTCCTGATAACAGTTCTCAACTCATTTAAAAATCAGCATTAGCTACCAAAATGTAAAGTATTAGTTTTATTAAAATGCAAATCGATCAACTAATCTGTCTTTCTAGTAACAGTTGAATTGCAGTATCCGTGTCAATTAAAATAGTTTCCAATTTATTCTTGGCTGGAAGGAGAGTGGTCTTCTGAATTTTAAAATGCAAGCCTCCCTTTTACTGAAAAGGCTGTCATTCCTCCTGATTTTAATTCATTTAATTAAACAGGTTTGACTCCAAATATTTTGAAGTACCTGTTTAAATCTTTTTCTTCACAGAGTAAAGAGTGATGACGACGAAGGTTCTATCTTTTTGGGAAACGTGGGTTATAGCATGAAGCTCACTGAAGTCCAATATGAGGACACTTCCTGGCTGTTCCCACTGAATCCTCAGGCTAGATCATTTTGAAGAGAGTAGTTGTGGGGGAACTCTCCTATTTCTGCTGATTGATCTCCTGGGTAACCGGAGACACATTGAAAATTAAACATTTCCCTGATAGTCAAGCCCAAGAGGTAACTACTGAGACAAGAAAAACAAATCACCACGTTCCAGGGTCCAATTAATGTGAGATGGAAAAACCCTCCTCCTGCCACGTGCCCCATCCTGAGCTCAGCAGACACCGATGCTCACAGAAATGGAAGTGAATTACACTCAGGATCCACTGCACTGGGCCAGCCTTTGGGCACACAGTCCCCAGACGCTAAGCCCATGATACGTGGGATTCAGGGACACAGAAATCTGTCACTTTGACTTTGACATTTTAAAACCACCCGAAAATCCGACTTTAAAAACAATGACTAGTTATTGATGACAACTGCACTCAGCTGCCTGGATGCAACATTTCTCCTCTAATTCCGAAGCTTTAAATAAAGATTTGGGCAAGGCACGGAGGAGATGGTCAGTGCTGTCCGCTGGTCGGCACACATTACTTATGCAAGATAATCTTCATTGCATATTGACCACAGCAGGCCAATAAATCCCCCTTATGGGGATTTAATTTCCAGCTTGTGACCTCTGGATGAAAAACAAGTGAATCATTTCCTCCTGCTAGATTTACACCAGAGCAGATCTCAATAAAGTGATTTAGGAATGGAGAGAATGGAAAAGGACGCTGGCAGAATCTTTATGGGTGGGGGGGAAAAATGAGTCAGAGATTTGTATTCAGCAACAAATCGGCAAATACTCCCAAGTGACAAAGTCTCCAGGGCATAACTTAGAGGTTTTGGGAGTTCCCTGCTCCTCAGAGCCACAATCAATTGCTAAACATTGTCCACTCAGAAAGCAACATTCACCATCCTTCTGTGAAGCTCTATGTGGGAATTAGTTACCTCTTGGGCTTGCTAGAGCTCTAAATCAGATCTTACTCCGTGCTGCTCAAGAAACCACATGGCCAGGAACAACGCTTTTTATTGGTGGTGGCTCAAGGACATGGGGGAAGGACGCTTTGCACATGGAAGTGCGAGAAACAAAGACAGGTGACTCCAGGCGTCCTGGGACTTTGCTGGGCATCTGTTCTGAACAGCACACTCCCCAGGAAGTCCCTGACTCACTCAGCCCCACAGGCCAGCGGCTTCCTCCACGTGGGGCTGGATGAGCAGCCAACCTGGCCACAGCGCCGCCGGGCTGGGGCCACCCTCAGGCCTTGCAGCGAGAGGGCTGGGTGCCGTCAGTCCCCGTGGCCTCCATCAGGAGGGTTGAGTTGGCCAAAAAGAGATCGATATAACTCTGTCCTAGAAGACAAACAAAACAAATTGCTTAACATATTGGTTAACTTTCCAAGGTTAAAAAAAGAACTAAGCTAGGAAATACCCCAATCCGTTTGTTCAATTGAAACCACAGCCATGTAATTAAAAATGCATCCCACAGGTCTTTTTTTAATACAGAGAGAGGGAGAAACTAGAAGCCAATCCAACAGTGAGATGTGTAAATGGTCCAGTGTGGCTGCACACCCCGTCTCCAGGGAATGAGTTTTCTGTAAGTTTGCCCTTTACAGACAGGCTCCTCAAGTAAGAAAACAAGATTGAATATTTTAATAGGATGTATGAGACTGCCACACGATGAGGAGGATTCAATCAGACATGGGATGTAGGGATATAATTTAGTTTTCATACATTTTCTTCGACTTGGCAGTACTTGAAAAACAATGAAAATGACCCAGCAACAAGATTCCAATTACTGTCACATGTGCAGCCATTCAGTAGGACCACGGTGCTTCCCACTCCCCTGCCCCTTTCCCTGCTCTCAATCTAATAAGTAATTCCAATGCCTAATTTATTATTTCTAAAATTGGAGTTTGACGTTATGAGAGCCACCACATGCCAAGGTCCTGAGTCCTTGGAAATAAAGTAAACGATGTCTAACCTCTGTTTTAAATACAACATACACACAACTATTCGGCGATTCACGTGTCAAGGCCTGGAAAGTCTCAAAAAGAAATGGACCTCTCCTATCTTCATGGCAGAAACCCCAGGACATTCCCCCTGTGGGCAGAAAGAGAGGAACCAGAAGGACCACAGGGGTCAAATCCACTACAGAGGCAGCCTGTGGAGGACGTGACAAACGGAGGCAAGTGACGCACAGCCACTAACTCTCGGGGAAGGGGGATGGGCTGGCACCGGCAAAGGCTCCCGGCCAGGAGTAAACAGGCCCAGAAGAAACCTGTACCTGCTCTGTTCTAAACTTTCAATATCTAACCCCAAATGTAGCCTGTCCTTCTTGTTAAGAAAACAGGCTTTTAAAAGTGCTTTTATTATCTGAGAGTCATCATCAGCAAACCTGACCTTCAAACTAAAGCAAATAAACAAAAACCCCCACAAAACCAGCATCCTTCAAACAGCTTTCTTGGTTCAGCAAGATTTTAACATAAAAACTTATTTGTCTGTTTTTTAAGTTGTCCCACTGTAGTCGTGGTAGGAATAGCGGTCTATAATTAGAAAATCCAGCAATAAAAATAGCATGTGAAAGCTTTTTAAAAAGAAAAGGATCTTTAAAAAGAAACCACAGAAGCTGAGAATATCAATAGCCTTACGGCGCTGAGCACTCCCGGGGCAGCCCTGAAAAGTCGGGCCAGACAACAGCTGCTCTCCAATCCCAGTGCAGGCAATCGGGGCAAGAACTTGCTGCTACCCTCGCCCTGAATCCTGGACCAGCCCCGGCCTCCCGACAAACAAAGGAGGCAGGTTCACTCTGAGCTCCATCAGCTCTTTTGTTCCTGCCTCCCAGGTCAGCCCCGGACACCCGCCTAGAAGTGAGAGGCAGCTTCATGCTAAATGCAAATCTGAGGCAGCAGCCTCACTTCCAGTTGCTTCCAAATCACCAGCTCCATCGCAGAAGCGACAGCAAGACCCTGCCCAAGCTGCCCTCATCACGCAATGGCCTGCCTGTCTGCCAGTAAGTACGTGTCTCTCTTGCCATTTCACAAAAAATCAAGTGGCACGCAAGGGAGAGCCTCCATGACAAATAGGAAAGTGTGAGTTTAAGGCTGCAGCATCAGACAAGAGGGAAATACAGAGGCACATGCTTATTCAACCTTCGCAATAGTAAACCCTCCCCCTCACTTGAGCCTGCCACATCCGCCCCATCATTACCACCAGCAAATGCTTCCACTCAGCGCCAGGCCACAGAGAAGCACCTGGGCTGGGGCAGCAGTTACCATCCCAGCAGGGCTGGAGAGGCAGGCAGGGAATGCAATGCTGATACCCATGTTTTGATTGAACATTGGTTCACACTAAAGCGGGCAAAGCTGACACAGACAAGGCTGTTCATGGCAAAGCAACTTGCAAAGTGGAGTGCTCTGGGTTCTTAAAATCTTTTTATGGAGAGAGGGAGAATATGAAAAAGGGCTTATGCCAATCTAAAACTCCCCAAGGAATTACAACTCCATGTCTTCCTCACCCACCAATCAGGGGCCGTTTGTGCCTTCAAAGCATCTCAAGCTCCCTGTTCCTACAGGCTCCACCACTTCAGGCCTCACCGTCTCTGACCAGGAATATGTGACCGCTACTACCCAACTGCTCTGCTCCCTCCTCCTCATCCCCTCTGCATTTCCCTCTCAGGCCTGGCTCCCTCCCAAATCCAGGAGCACTGCCAGGATAAAGATCTAGCCCCTCCTTTCCCCTTACCCTTGCACAGGCTGCACATGGCGGGGCCTCCCACCTTGGGACCCCGACCAGTAAGGGTGGGGTCTCAGCCCTGGTCCAACGGGCTTTGCTACACCCCAACAGAATTTGACAAAACCCCTCATACATTTTCAAGTTTACATATAAATGTTTTCTATAAACTTAATAATCACAAAGGATACAGTTATCAGAATACTGTGAACACTAATTTTTAAATAAAACTCATATCTCTTTTGTAATACACCCAATGGACTCTATATGCCATATTGTTACCCATCACCACTCATTTAAATAACACATAAACAAACTCTTTAACTTGGAAATGTTACAGCATTTTTCTTTTTAAATGTATATTTCCATTTGACTTTTCCCTAGAGATTTTGGTCCTAATATAATTGTTTTATGCTTGAAAATCTTTTATTGATCATCCTATCATATTTCTTTTTTTTAAAATATATTTTATTGATTTTTTACAGAGAGGAAGGGAGAGAGATAGAGAGCTAGAAATGTCGATGAGAGAGTAACATTGATCAGCTGCCTCTTGCACACCCCCTATCGGGAATGTGCCCGCAACCAATGTACATGCCCTTGACCGGAATCGAACCCAGGACCCTTCAGTCCGCAGACCGACGCTCTACCACTGAGCCAAACCAGTTTCGGCACCCTATCATATTTATTGGCCACAAAAATAAATATGTAAATTGAAACATTTTTTGAAATTTAAAAAGTTGAAATAAAAACATTCTAATTTCTTGCGACTATAAGGTTCTAATTAATTTTTAAATTTTATTTTTGGATTGTGTTATCATTACAATTATTATTAGGATATATTTGTATATACAATAACAATATAAAAAAGTGTATCATACTTTTGGTATAAACAATGTATATAAATAAGTATAACATTAGTGGAAATGCATCTCTTGATGACACAGAGGCTTCCTCTCCAGGACTGAGATTTATCTATTGCTGGAAGGAGTGGGTTCAGCATCGACTTGTTCCTGTTTGTAGTTTTGTACATGTAAGTTCTGAGAGACCCTGTCACATTAACAAGTAGGTGGGAATGGGAGGGTTTTGTTAGAACAACATCACTCATTTTTTTAATTCTTTCTGAATTATATACCCCCCCCCAAAAAAAAAAAATCATATAGTGATCTGCCACCAAAAGTCTGTTTTAATTGTCTACCAGCTGACAACTCAATCAACTTCTCCTGCATTTTGTTAAAAGTAAAGGCCCTGCAAGGACTTCTTACCTAGCTCTTAGTCACTGCCATTCCCAATCCCTGCACCTGTAGTCTGACCTTTTGTGTGGTGCCCACTGCAAGGCAACGTCCCAGGTCATAGTAAGGTGTTAGAGGTGTGCTGGAGCCAGCGGGCAGAGGACAGCTGGGCCAGACCCGAGTGCACATCTGGATCCTGGACACTCTGTGTCTACTTTCCCAGGGGAAGTCTCTGCACATCCCAGGATGAAGACTGACGTGTGGGTGCACTGAGCTCTGCCCCCCAAACCCAGACAGTCTGCTGCCACTGCGTAGGGAAAGGTAGAGGCATCTGAAAAGAAGCAGGACGTGTCCACACCCCCTGCCCCATCCCAAGGAAAACAAAGCTAAAAATAAAAGTAGGCTGCAAAAAGTCACCATGTGACCAAGGGCAGGGCTGCCTTCTGCTGCAAGGACATGTCCGCTGCAGCATCCCCACTGATGAGGATTTAGCCACAAGCCCAGCTATCAATCCTCAGGTGACCCTCGTCTTCACCTGATTCTCTGGGCAACTGTAGTTTAATCCTAGAGGTTCCCTTAAGGCCATGCATGATGTTGTTTGTTTTTATAATACACAATTCCTGCTCTCTCCCACATTAAGAAACAGGAGTTGAATCACTGAGCTGAAATGCCTTCCCCCACAGTCTTGGCCTCAACGGCCAGTGGGAATGTCCACTGTAGAAAATGTATTAATGTTGGTCTCATGCAGGAGAATAACCTACAGAGTAATTAACAGGACTTGGACCTGAGGTAGAAGGTCGATAGCAGGGGCTCTTCCTTGAATTAAAATTTAACTTACCCTTTATTGCAACCTACAAAAGCAAGTAATGAGCACTAACATTTTTATTTCTTTTAAACTGTCATTTAGGCTGTAGAGGGGATAATTACCTATCTCTAGTGTAGTAAGGTTTTATAACCCTTAGTAAGGCATTTTCTAATTTAATATTTTTACTATATTATCATAAAACCTGTTTCTGGGAGGAAAAATGATCATGGATTAGCAGCCATTTTCCATAATGATAGTGTGTGTGTGTGTGTGTGTGTGTGGATTCAGCTTATTTATATGTGATTCTCCTGAAATGATTTAAAGTATGCACAGTTTATTTGGCTGTGAAGTGCAGGTGAGGTTGAAACTGTCCTGAATGACGGTGGTGTACGTGTTTAATAATGCAGCCCCGTACGTGTGTACCCAATATTCCCTTCAGCTCCACAGTCCCTCCTCACCGACTACAACACAGACCAGTGTCTTCCACACTGTTATCCGGGCAAACAGTGTAGAGCATACTGAACTTGCAGAGGATCTGTGTGGGGCTTGGATTTGCAAGGTAAGTAGCTTGCAGCACCTGGGATTCT